GGGATTGCAGAAGCACAAAATTTGTTTCATTGTAGTGTCAAACCAATTAGGTATTAGTCTGAATAGAACTAGGATCAGGAGTTTCATATGTTTATATGTCTGTTCTGTCATATAGAATATTAGGTTTATAGAACTGACATGATATCAGAATCTAAAAAGGAGGGCTTAAATAATTATGGAGACTTATTGTTAATTCACAATATCATGGGGATTTCTAAACTAATGTTCTGTCACTGTGTTGTGGATCAGAAAATACACAGTTGTGAAACACAAGTGGGAAGTTATTATCATATGTGGTGGTCATGTGGAGTAGAGAAACAATATTGGAAAAGAGTACATGCCATGTTGCAACAAATATTGCTATGTAAGGTGCCATTAACCCCAGAACTGTTTTTACTGAGTATGAAACCCATAATACTGTATAGATAAGTCAAAGGAATATATAGTTATATATATTGTTACGGCAGCCAAAATTCTATATGCTAAAAATTGGAAAAGTCCGACGGTACCGAAACAAGAAGATCTTATTGAAAAGATACGGGAAATAGCCGAAATAGATATCTTATCAGGAGTCATGAAGGACTATCCCTTGCAAAAGGCAACAGAAAGATGGGATCTATTTAACAAGTGGAGTGAATCAACAGGCAGCATGTGAATAGCATATATTGAAATGAGAACTTTATCTAGAAGGCAGAAAAGAGTAAACAGAATACTGTAACCTAAAACCTTGATATGGCAATAGGTATAGAATGGATGTTAGTATGTTATTGTCTCCCCTCTTCCTCATCAATTCCAATTCCCTTTTTCCTTTCTGTCACCCCTTATGTTAAAAAAAAAGAAAAGAAAATACACAGTTGACTTCTTTAGAGTAGATCTCTGATACTGGGTTTAGAGATTTCACTCTCTCCACTTGGTGGATCTGAGTGCAAATATTTTGTGATGAATGTTGAGTTTGGTGACCAGATGCAAGGGAAAACTGGGCTTAGGGATATTTAATTATTGAGTTGGATGTGCACCTTGGTTCACAGAGATGACAAACGTAGTACTTGTGAACAACTTCTGTGCAACATCTTCACCCAAGCACCCATCCTTCTTTTCATCTCTACACCATGTTGTTGTATGATAATGAGAACAGCAATAATGTAGTGAATGAAATTGGATAATCTGATATTATTAATTTGATATACAGAGATGATGACAGAGACCATTACATTTAGTGCAGAGGAAGCACACAGTCTATGCCAACTGGGTTCATAGGTGTATTCGTTCATTGCAATTTTTTATATTGTATCTTTTGCTATATTTTCATTCCTTTCTTATACAGAAATGTGAATGCAGGGGATTTTCATACATCATAAAACCTGTTGCTCTTCATTTATGTTCTTGGTGTTTATTTTGCAAATTTTCACATATTAATTTCTTTATCTTAAGAGATTCAGACATTTCTGCAGGAAAATCAGAGTTCATCTCTATATATTTATAAAAGTGTGTTATTCTGCTTCACTTTTTCAGATCTTTTAACGTATAAAAGCAGCAGAACATTCTTGTAAAAAGATACTGGAAGGTGATACTAATTGCACTGAAGAGTCATTTGATAGTTGTAGAGACTGAATGTCAAATACTCTTATGAAGCAAGAACATTTTTATGTTCTTGTGGGATAGTACTTTAGTTACCAAATGTAGTTTTTAAATCTTTTCTCACTGACTAGTTCTTTCCTGTTAGTAAGGCCTAGAATAGGTAATCATGTTGCTCCTTCCATCTTCTGAAAGATGCGAGCAAGATAAATGAAGAATTTGATATGTTTATATGTTATTTTTACCAGATTTTTTCAGACATAGAAATTAGGTAATTATGTGCTGCCAAAATACTGTGGGGGCAGTTTGTTATATACATAGTTGCATGATAATGCTGGTTGCATTTCCATCCAGACACTGGACATATGTAGTTTCTTTAGCAAGCAGATGGGGTGTCTGTCAGAAGTGTGCAGCCTTTTCTTTTGAAACGGTAGACAAAACAGGTATAGTGTAGTTTTGGCTTTAACTCTTGCTGGATTCCTTCCTCTGTCACTCTGGGAGCTATATCATGTTATAATGTATCCCATGTTGCAGATGGAGCAAAGGCAAACATTTGAAAAGGCCTTATTCTCCATATGGGAGTGTGCTGCTATATTAAAATATTTGACAGTTCCAGTCCACTGACTATGTAGCATGACATGCTGGTGACTGAATTAGTGCTGTCATTTAAAAAGTTAATTCAGAGTTGTGTAGGAGTGCAGTTGTGCTTTGGTACATAGCAGATGCAGACTTTGGAACAGTTTCAGACTCAGAAAAGAGTATCTGGTCAATAAAACTGGAACAGTTCAGAGAAATTAGGTAGGAACCAATTTTCCCTGGAAAAAGTCTGTTGTTTCCACTAATGAAGATGAAAATAGATTTCCCTTTTCCTGTTCCAGTGATATACATTTGCATTGGCTTCTAATTTGTACGTGACATCTATACCTCTCTAAAAAAACCTGTAGAAGGCAGGTTATCATAATAATAATCAAATGTATTTGGAAAGCAAGGTGTCGGAGTCACAAAATGAGAAGGCTGATGGGCTTTGTGATCACAAGGAATTAGGATAGCAAATAGAGATAGAAGTTAAAGAAGTCAGCCACACACAGGGATGTCTGCCAGCCGTGCTCCTGGTGGGCGACTAGTAGAAGAGGCAAAATAAGATGACTGCCCTGCCCCCAGGAGGACTATGTTTATTAACCTTACAAGCTCACAGATAGTTGACAGTATACAGATAGTTGACAGAGTTCAGATAGGACAATGGTTGCATAATGCTATTATGATTGGCCCAAGGAAAGGCACTTAAGGAAGCTCTCTGTCACCTATGAGAAGGAAGAAGAATGGGTAGTCACGCCCCTCAGAAGCAGCCCCATCTTGTTAGGAGAGTTTGTCCTCACTACAACAACAATGTGGATTAGCAACCTTGGAAATGGCACCCCCACAGCAAGGCAAGCAATAAAGAGTTGTTTGTCACTTACAGTTCTCAAGGAAAACATAACAGTAGCCTTTATTTTTATTTTGTTAATATTTTGTTTGTTAACTCCTCTGATCACTGCAGTCAAAGTGACATAACACATTTTTCTTCTTTCCCTACTTAATTCTGTGAGGTAGGCTAGCTTGAGAGATGTGACTGGCCAAAATTACTCAGTGAGGATTTCAACTCAGGTTTTCCAAGTCATAGTGCAACACTTTTTAACAATTGCACTGGTTCATTCTTATTCCTAAATGCCTGCCTTGTCCTTAAGTACAGTTGCCAGTTTTTCAGCTGATCACTGTATCTTTAGTAGCAGCTTGATTTTTAGACAGTCATGCAAAATGCTAAAAGTCTTGGT